TACAGAAGTAGATAGATAGGTTCTATTTAACTACCAAAGGGGTTATTATGCACTAAAACCTTCATCCTATTTCCTAATTATCCATTTTGAAAAGCTAGTACGAAGAAAAAGTAATAAAGGAAAACAACCATTCTGGGTTTTACCAACAACTTTTGGCCTATAAATTCTAAATGGTCCACATAACCGAGGACATAGCAGGGGTGTATCCATGGCCTAAATACACTGTACTAGAAGGTGTTCCTTTTTCTCATCTCAGAAAGTTGAAAGATATGCATACCTATTGGCCCATCACTATGATTGGCTGCCTCCTTGGCCACCAGGAATGTGTGGGAGGCAAGCCTCCACACTACCAGGAAGACCGTTGAACCGAGCTGTCCTCGATTAGGACATTAGGGTGGAGTGCTTGGACTGATGGTACATGGTGGTACATGAAGACACCTACCGGTGTCTACATCTTATACATCTTATCAGCTTTTTTATGTGAATGCAATGAGACTCCTAAATGTAGATCATTTTATTGATGTGCTGCAATGATTTAAATACCTTGGTCCTAAGTACAGTTTGTAGTTATAGTCACTAGAGGGAGAGTCTACATGTTTGTAAACAAAATACAAATGACTTTCTAGTAAACATTTCAGCAATAACTCAAATGTATAGTTAATAAAATAAAATCTAGTTATACAATTACTGGAAAAAAATGTTTTCTAATATACAGTTTGTGCAATCAGCACATGACTGGTCAGTTGGCAGAGCAACAACTATGAGACCCCAGAGGGCCTTTCACCTTTGAACCTTGGCTCCAGCTGTCATTCTCAGACAAGTTAAATCGGAACTAAAGTGCAAAATCAAAAAACTAAGAGAAGTCTCTTCTGCAGTGAAAAAAAAACTACCCCCTTGGTCTTGATTAGACTGTACACTGAGCTGACCAGCTTACATTCTTGGCACACCTCCGTGGTGCTGGAATGAAACGTTCCCATGCACCGGTGTGGAAATTAAGTCATCCCCGCTAACGAATCAAAACAGCCAAAGACAATGGCAGAAGATGTCAGTGCTGGTGAGGGATTGCATGGATGACATATTGCTAGAGCGGAGGTGAATATTTGCAGACTTTAAAGCAGAACTCTGGGCAACTTTTTTCTTAACCCTTGCAGTGGGGCTACGGCCAATGAATAACAACTGGGCGGAGCTGGCCGTGATGTCACGGCCGGCTCCACCCAGTTGTCATTGTTTAATGACAGTTCAGCCTTCCCAGGTAACTGCTGATCTGATCTGTCATTACAACTGGGCTCCGCCCAGCTGTCAGATACGAGGCGATCGGCCGGCCATTCGCCCCGCTCCGGGTGTCGCTTCGGCTCAGTCGAGCCGAAGCATATGCCTTTGGCTCGGCTACCTTCGGGAGCTGTACGGGCTATAATGAATAGAGCTCGGAGGCCGAAGCTAGCCGAAGGATCAGTCGGAGCTACGGCTGATCCTTCAGCTAGCTTTGTGAAAAACCCTCTAAATATTAATTTTTTGCATAAGGCCATCGGTGAATTCACTTTCATTTGATCATTTGCAACACCTTATTTAGGAAGAGGGAGTATCCCATTCTTTTCTTTACCTAGTTATTCATGTATGCAATTCCTAAAGGAAGACCTTTCCGTGCCAGTTTTGCCTTATAATCCCTACTGCATGTTCTGGGTGTTTCTTATAAGTACAAATGAATATATATATAATATATACAAGGTTTTCTTATATATGCAGTGTATATATATACAGGTGAAACTCGGAAAATTAGAATATCGTGCAAAAGTTCATTTATTTCACTAATGCAACTTAGCCGTCTACCGGGAGATTTTGGAGCACTTCATGCTTTCTTCCGCAGACGATGACACACACATATTTACATTATGTATATTTTCGGTGTTAGTGATTATATATAGTTTGGTACCTCTGCTGCTAAAGTGTATGAAATCAAAAGAAAGGCCATGTTGCTCTGCCTGAGCTGCTTGGCCACCAAGATGCAACAAAAATGTCAAGATCACAAGAGTGGACTAGTTGCAACAGCAAGTAACGATTAAGGTTATATCGTTCAGGACTTTTCTATTTTTACTTTAGTTATTACAAAGAGATTGGGTAATTTATTTATGGTATTTACACATTGACTTCAGGCCCTGCCCTCAAGGCTTGTTCACACCAAGCGCGTTCCAGGAGCAGAGCTGAGCAGTTACAGACCGGAACAAAACTGCGTCAAATGTATTCCAATGGTATTTTGGGCTCTAGTTCACATGGCAGCGTTCAGTTCCAGAGCATGTAAAAAAAACTGCAGCAAGCCCTATTTTACCTGCTCTGGAACACATGCAAACGCATCAAAAAATGTGGTATAACACACTGCACTGCGTGTGCAGAAACTCATGCAGATCTGGTCTGCATTTGGTGTGAACAAGCCCTCAAAGAACTTGTAATCTAAGGTCCCTTTCTCACATGCATACATACAAGGGCCAATTTAGACAGGAGCCAAATAACCTTCCAGCATGTCTTTGGAGTGTGGCAGGAAGCCTGAGTACCCGGAGGAAACCCACACAAGCACAGGGAGAACATGCAAACTCCTTGCAGATACTGACCTGGCCAGGGAATTGAACCAGGGACCTCAACAATGCAAGGCAGAAGTGCTAATATACAGGTACGGTACTGTGGGGAAAATCTGCAGCTGGTCTCTTTCTGACCTGCATCAGGCAGGTTTCACATTCCAATAGACTTGTATAGGAATCCAAAACCCATTTGATGGCAATAGATCTCCTCGACAACATGACTTACTGCTAACTGAAACTCTGTGTGGCCAAACTGTTGTAAAGTAGTCACCGCTCCAAGCTCACTCCCATGATGGACTACAATCTCATGTTTAGTTTACTCATTTGTATTGAGATTGTAGTCCATCACAGGAGCGAACTTGGAGCGGTGACTACTTTATAACATACACAAGAGACCATGGGGAACAAAAGTAGCCACCCTCCAGAAGGAAGGACAGTGTCAGCACCAATTCAGAGATGATTTGAGGATCTACAGCTGAGTGATACACAAATAAGATGCATTTTTGTTAATAGTTAAGGTACTTGAATGGATTTTTATTGATTTAGTAGTAGTTCAGTGTCACTTTAATTGATTTCAGAGCGCCTTTATTGATGTCGCAATCAACATATCACAAAAAGAAAAATGTGACATTTGGGGAACACACAGGTTCCCTTCAATTTCTCACATGCATACATACAAGGGCCAATTTAGACAGGAGCCAAATAACCTTCCAGCATGTCTTTGGAGTGTGGCAGGAAGCCTGAGTACCCGGAGGAAACCCACACAAGCACAGGGAGAACATGCAAACTCCTTGCAGATACTGACCTGGCCAGGGAATTGAACCAGGGACCTCAACAATGCAAGGCAGAAGTGCTAATATACAGGTACGGTACTGTGGGGAAAATCTGCAGCTGGTCTCTTTCTGACCTGCATCAGGCAGGTTTCACATTCCAATAGACTTGTATAGGAATCCAAAACCCATTTGATGGCAATAGATCTCCTCGACAACATGACTTACTGCTAACTGAAACTCTGTGTGGCCAAACTGTTGTAAAGTAGTCACCGCTCCAAGCTCACTCCCATGATGGACTACAATCTCATGTTTAGTTTACTCATTTGTATTGAGATTGTAGTCCATCACAGGAGCGAACTTGGAGCGGTGACTACTTTATAACATACACAAGAGACCATGGGGAACAAAAGTAGCCACCCTCCAGAAGGAAGGACAGTGTCAGCACCAATTCAGAGATGATTTGAGGATCTACAGCTGAGTGATACACAAATAAGATGCATTTTTGTTAATAGTTAAGGTACTTGAATGGATTTTTATTGATTTAGTAGTAGTTCAGTGTCACTTTAATTGATTTCAGAGCGCCTTTATTGATGTCGCAATCAACATATCACAAAAAGAAAAATGTGACATTTGGGGAACACACAGGTTCCCTTCATCAGGCAGTGATTTCTTATAGACAGGTCACACTATAGCATTGCGCTAAAGTGCAAATTGTTTCACGCATTTATGCTACACAGCTCAATGCACCGCACACTAGGTGCAATGGTGTGTTGTGTTGCTATTTATTCTGTGTTGCAGTGACGTGCAATAAAAAAAGATGCATGCACCTGGGGCGTCCCGAGGCTGGGTGTTACCTGGAGTGGATAGCGGGTGACACCGCAATGACGTGTGCGCAATGACGTCATCGCGCATGTGCTCCTGTCTTATTGATACCTGCTGGCGGCCATCTTAGTGATGATGCCGGCAGAGAGAGGGGACTTATGCTGCCGCAAATGGTGTCACCCGGGTGCGGGCCACACCCCCCTTGTGACGCAACTGGCACACACTATTTCTTTTGCAGCAAGTCACGCCCGCCGGGTGGTGCGTTGGCCTGCCATTCAGAATGAATAGCAACACAGTACACCTAGTGTGTGGTACATTGCGCTGGGTGATAGCATTCGCTAAACACACGGATACGGATACGTGCCTTTAGCACAAGGCTATAGTGTGAAATAGCCCTTAATCTTTTATTAATCCAACCTCCCCATACACGTCCAGCAAACTATCATTGCTGGTCTATTTTTTTCTTTATATATATTTAATATACTACAAAGGATCACATGGAATAGGTTTATATCTAATAGCAAAATGCAGGCTCACAAGTCTTTCCAGATCAGTTTCAGAATACAGGGCTCTTTTTAAACTAGATTAGTGTAAAGACTACTCATGATCTACGCTCCCTTTACCAGCAGTCGTAACTGTCCCTGTGTACCAAGCAGGAGTCACGGTAGCCACGCCCCCTTCATAACACCACGACCTCCTTCGGCTTGATCTTTAACTAGCAGACACCGCCCCCCGTGTACTGTCAGCCACGCCCACTACACAGAGCCCTATAACCCCACAGCAGGGGCCGCTGTGCTGTCTCTGTGTCCTTGTTTCATCTGCTAGCATACAGCCCTGCACAAGTTCCAGCCATGTCCTCAGACAAGATCTTCACCGAAGGGGAGACCTGCAAGTCTGTTTGGCACAATGCATCTGCAGGGTACAATGAGGCAGACACCCACCTGGAAATCATGGGCAAACCGGTGATGGAAAGGTGGGAGACCCCCTACATGCACAGCCTAGCGGGGGTAGCTGCTAGTAAAGGTATGTGCTTAGATGTGTAGTGTAATAACTGGATACTAACAAATGTATACAATAGTTTATTATTAGGTATAGTAATACACCTTGCACTGTGTAGTGTAATAGCGAAAAAGTTGCAAATGCACAGGATTTGAAAAGCAAAAGATTATTATATCATTATTTATTATTACTGTTTATTTTTATCAGTGATAGTAATACACCTTGCACTATGTAGTGTAATAACAAGACAGTTGCATTTGACAAGATTTGCAAAACAACAGCTTATTATTATCATCATTATTTATTCTTACTAGTTATAGTAATATACTTTGCACTATGTAGTGTAATAATTAGACAGTTGCAAATGCATAGAATTTGCAAGACAATAGATTATTACTATTATTGTTTTTATTTATTTTGTATTATTACTTTTTATTATTATTATGATTAGTGTTAGTAATATACCGGTAGCTTCAATGAATCTGTAGATTGACAAGTACCATGCATAACGCTATGTAAAGCTAGCCATATACTTTGCACTATGTAGTGTAATAATTAGACAGTTGCAAATGCATAGAATTTGCAAGACAATAGATTATTAGTATTATTGTTTTTATTTATTTTGTATTACTTTTTATTATTGTTATTATGATTAGTGTTGGTAATATAGCTTGAATGAATCTGTAGACTGACAAGTACCATGCATAACGCTATGTAAAGCTAGCCATATACCAGAATTTCCTTCAAAAAACATTTTTTTTTGGGATGGAACATTGCTTTTCAAATAGTTAATGGGTTCAAGTCGATGGTCGTTTTTGCCTGCAGTGACGAAAACAAAACTTGAAGGAGCAGAATGGAAAATTTGTCTCGAATGAATGAAATTTTAACAGTGAATGTGGAAACTTCATTCATTCAACCATCGAGTGTTAAAACCAAACAAAACTGAACATTCTTCAAGTCTCTGATGGTATTATCGAATGTTGTTATGAGATTTTTTTTTTTTTTTAATGAATGTTTGTATGAAAATCCTACTTGTGTATGGCCAGCTTTACTAGTTGTTTAAGGAGGCATGAGAGATCTCTAGAGCAGCCTTTTTTAACCAGGGCTCTGTAGAAACCGAGGCTTCCTCCAGAGGTTGCTAGGAGTTCCACTGACAATTACTTTTTTTTTTAATCTGTAAGGGGTATTCTTCCTACTGAGCATCAATGTAAAGGAGCCATTCTCCCAATGACCACCAGTATAAGGGGACCCTTCTGTATTGATCACTAATGAAAGGGGGTGCTTCATTGACCAGCAGTGTGAGGGAACACTACAATTTTCACTGTCTTCATTTCTTTTCTGGCCACTAATATTATATTTATTATTATTATTATTTATTATTATCTCATTCACAATTTCAATAAAAAAAAAAAAAAAAAGATTAATTAGCAGGGATTCCTTGAGACTTTACAGTTATTTCCTCCTTGAAAATCTCCTCCAGAGAGACAGTCCTCAAGATGTGGTGCTTGCTGTCCAGCAATCAGTTGAGTGTCTCAGAATAGCTGTTTTGTATGTGTTACACTTGGTGACAGCTGTATGCTAGGAGGGGCACTAGGCCTGCGTGCTCTTTTTTTAGTTCTTCCGTGACTTGAATAACTTTTTGTGTCTTGACGCCAAGTATGGAGCAATTAGATAGACTGCCTTGGGTATTTACCCAGTATTGCTCAGGGAATCTTCACATCTGCTGCTATGTCTTCACAGCAGAGTCTTTGGAACAGAGCAATGTGGATACTCCTACACTCAATGAAATGTACTGTCACGTGCTTCAAAATACTATTGTAGGTGGTTAATATGAAGCAGCACGTCATACATTGACAGACTAAATAAGACATTGCCACAGTCCTACTGGAGGCAACACTTATATAATATATCAAAGAACACAACATTTGTCTGATTCACTTACCATACTTTGGTGTTCAAACTTTTAGGTCTTGTTCCATGACCATTGAGCTGCATTTTCTGCACATTGTTTTCTATGTGCACTGTTCTTCTATACAGACCGGCACAGGTCTCAGATCCCATGGACCTAATAGACACCCACAACAGGCTGCGCATGTTGCAGTCTGGAAGCTGGCAGAGAGCCGTAGCAGTTTGTACATGTACAGTGAATCCAGCACATGTGCAGACACAACACGGGTCTCTTTCAGGTGAGTATGCAATCTGGGCTGAACAAGGTTCCACAAGTTTAACAAGGTGCACGAGGCAAGAGGGGTTTAATAGCAAAATAACTCCCAGGGTTAGAAGTGTGTGGGGGAGTTCCTGTTTAATGTTCCTCTTTACACCCCTATTCCGGGTGTAAAAATGCATTTAGAATACCTTTTTAAAACGCGTAGAAACTTGCCACTGCATCAGAACATATGTGCAACATATGTTGTTGAACACATGGAGGGTGAATGAGCTCTAAAAAGGAAAATTAATTCTAAATTACTGCAACATTATGGAGCTCTATAATTTGAGGAACCATTGTGTTCTGGGAATATTTCTCTAAAAAAGAAAATTAATTTTAAACTTCATAGTCTAGCTTTCAACAGTTTTTTTTAAAATTACAGTTGGGAGTATCTTCTTGGTACATAGTACTGCAACATTATGGAGATCTATAGTTTGAGGAACCATTGTATTCTGGGAATATTTGACCAGCAGCCTATTCTCCAATGAAAGTTTTAAAATATGATTGTTCATGCAAATTTGTACATTGGAGAGGATTTTTTTAGTGGTAAGATCATTTCCTAATAAATCAAAACAATCGAATGCAGTGATCAATCAAATCCATAATAACAGCTGGTTAACTGTTTTTCTTACCTAAGAGGCCACTGGAATTTTTTGCTTTTTGGAATGTGCCTACTTTATCTAAACAACTACTTTTTATATATTTAGATCAGCATATGTATATACACACTAATGAATATTTGACGTTTTAAGATTCTTAAGAATACACAGGTATTGGCTATGCTCTTTGTTGGGGGATGCATGGTATGCTTTCCATCTGGGTGATTGTAGACTAAAACCATTCCACTGTCCCTGGAAATTTAATTGTCCTCTATTTATATCCCCTGAGCACTGAAGGGTGAAATGCCTTTTTGCACACAATGGCTGGTTTACTGTTTCCCCAAGACATTCCCACTTTTTTAATCAGTTTCTTATCTCCTAAAGCTGGCCATACACTAGTGGATTTCTGAACCAACTTTCGTACGAAAGATCTTTCTTTACCACCTGATAATGCCATCACATACTTGACAAATCTTGATTGAAATTTCGTTTGATTTTAACATTTGATTATCGAATGAATGGAGTTCCCCGTAAGAAAACCACATTCACTGTTAGAATTTCGATCGTTCGAGAAAAAATTTCCATCCTGCTCCTTCGAGTTCTTTCGTCACTACTGTTGAAATTGAGCGTCGATTTGATCCCATCAGGTAATAGAAAGTTGAACGAAAGATCTTTCGGATGAAAGTACTTTAAAAAATCTACGCAGTGTATGGCCAACATAATTTTATGTTCCTGTATGAAGGGCCCAATTTTAATTCTTCTGAAATATTTAGCTCTACTGTTACCACTGGAAAAAAATAGGTGACCTGCTGTGGTAAGTTGTGTGTTGCTTTTGTTGTAAGTTGATAATGTTTACTGCATTTTTAACCTAACTCTCCATTTGCAGGAGGGAGAGTGCTTGAGATTGGATTTGGTATGGCAATTGCAGCTACAAAGCTGGAAGAGTACAAAATAGAGGAACACTGGATCATAGAATGCAATGATGGGGTATTCCAACGGTTACAAGAATGGGCCAAACTCCAACCACATAAGGTAAAATCATGTGCCTATTATAAAAAAAAAAAGTGGCAACTGTGGCCATTTAATGCATATGTAGGAGGTCCTGCTTGTTCAGATAGTTCCTGTGTTTTAGATAATGATAGGCTGTGAAATAGGGTCAGTTATGTTGCTGGTCATGAATGTAACAATCTGATTGTTAAAGTTGAACTCCAGGTCGAATGATCTTTTATGAATACTTACATTGGTCCAGCTTGGCTCAATACAAGTATTCATATCTGATATTGGAATGCCGCTGGGGATTCTGAAAATCACTGTAGTAGTCAGCGCTACATACAGTATAGCTGGTCTCGTCTAGCAGCAGCTTCCCCTCTGTACAGTGAGCGCAAGGGGCACTCACTCAACACCTCCGCTATTCAGAAAATGCCTTGCATTTTTTCACTAAATACAAGGCATTCATTGATTGCACAAGGTGGTGAACATGACATCATTTTCTCCTCCGTTTTACCTCATCCAATCCGAGAGTGCCTTGTACTCAACAAAAAAATACATAAAAAGTGCTCTGTGAATGGCAGCGGTGCCTTGCAAGGGACTCCCTGTGTGCAGAGGAAAAGTCGCTGGAGCCACAGCTATCACTGTGATTGTCAGAATCCCCAGCAGCCCTCCTTATTTCATACAATTGTGCAATGTAAGCTTGGCTCAATGTGAGTATTCATATCTGATATCCAGAGGACCTCTGGGGCTTCTGAAAATCACTGTAGTAGTCTGCGGTAGATATAGCGATGGTCTGTTCCAGGTGTGGCTCCAGCGGATTCCCCTCTGCACACTAAGCACAGCGAGTCCCTCTCTCAGCATCACTGACAATCAGAGAATAGATTGTATTTCTTCAATGAATACAAGGAGACTCTTATTCGACGAGGTGGAGAGGAGGGGAAGATGATGTTATGGTCTTCATCTTGTCCAATGAGAGAATGCCTTGTATTAATTGAAAAAATACAAGGTGTTCTCTGAATGATGGCAGTACAAGGCAAGTGATATCCTGTGCTCTGTGTGGAGAGGGGAAGGTCTTGGAGCCACAGCTGGAAGAGACCAGCTTTCACTGTATGTAAGAGGGCTAACCTGGAATGTGACTTTCAGGCACCGGCCTCTGCTTGTGCCTATTTCCAGACTTTGGTGTACTGTGTTAGCCCCAGAGTGCTCTCCAGGTCTACGGCTGGTGTGACCCACTCTCCAATTTTAGAGCCATGGCACTACCTCTGGTGTGACCCAGTTTCTGAATCCTCCCTTTGTGAAAGAGCCTCTGCATGTGGCCAGGCTACCATAATATGTGTGCTTTGAGCACTAAACTTCGCATTGCGGCGGTTTCCAATCCCTTGTTTTCTGTGTTACCTGCAAACCGTTTTCAGTTTAAAGCGTAACATAACTCGCCTCCCCTTGCTCCATCGCTAGGGCAGGCTCCTTCTCCCCAACTTCTTCCAGGGACTGGTCTTCAGCAATCTTAGTTGGCCAGGAGAAATGACGTAGCTCCTAAGCAGGTGCATAGGAGTTCAGTCATCCTGGATCAGAGGTGCAAACAGGCAAGTAAGTTTGTTTCATTGCAGTGAAGACATTGCGAGGGGAATTTATCAAAACTGGAGCAGACAAAATCTGAAGCAGCTGTGCATGGCAACCAATCGGCTTCTATCTTTTATTTTCAAAGCTTAACTAAACAAACTTGAGAGAAGCTGATTGGTTGCCATGGGCAACTGCTCCAGATTCTGTCTTCTCCAGTTTTGATAAATTCCCCCCAGTGGGAATAAAAAGCCCTCCTGCTCACAATTATTATTATTTTTTTTTAGGTTTCTATAGGATCATCCCTTTCAGCAGTTTCTATAGCTCTACTGCCTGTGCATGAGACCTGCTCTATGTCTTTTAGGCCTCGTATAACCACTTCAGACTTTGTGTCAGTCTGTGCGAGAATAATGTAACAATCTGCTTGCAGACATTGACTAAGTGCCTTAGTACTATCTACCGCAGAAAATAGTTCTCACCCTACTGGACCATTATGTCTCAGTGTCTGAGGCCTATCTTTATCTCTAATTCAGATTCAGAACCCGCATAGTCTACTCCTGTAGAGACTATATCAAAACCCAAGTTCCTGATGACCCTGTTGTTTCCAATCTCTTTAATGTAGTACACTTTACCCTGTTTCTAGGGAATCAACCGGTAAAAAGGTTTCTCTATGACGACTAAGAACTTCCATTGCAATCATGGCTTCCTCCTAAAAATGTGTAGAAGCATTTTCCTTTTTGATAAAGAATTTCTTGACTTACTTTTTTTACAGTTCTTCACCTTAATGGACATCTTATCTTACTCTGGTTCATGATGTCTTTATATTTAGCGACTTTACTGATCGCCATTTGGACTTCCTATTTTATCTAAATTAACTGGAACAACTTACTGTCTTCTATTGGCAGTGACTTTAACTTGTTAAAATTATGTCTCTAGTGGAGGAACTCCTCTAACACAGGTCCAGACCCTTGAGCTTTGCATCTTGTTGAGTTCAGTTATGATGGCCTCTTAAGGTGCCCATACACTGCACGATTCTCGTACGAGAATCGCGGGAAGAGAAACGTGCAGTGTATGGAAGGCGTGCGACCGTTTCTAATGTACGGTCGCACTACTTTTTTTGTATTTCGAGCATGTTGGAAAAACGGCCTGAGAATCGTACGATTTTCGGCTAGTTTTTAACATGATCGAGAGATCACTGCCGAACGGGCCAGTGTGCGCACACGCACACTGCCCGTTCAGCATTGCGGTCATCGGAAGCCCGCCCCTCGGGGGCGGGCTTGCGATGATCGCAAGTACGATCTGCCTGTCCAAGTTGGGCAGATCGTCCGTTTTTTTAAAGTACTTTACAACCCTCGCAAGACAAAAGTCTTGCGAGGGTTGTAAAGTGTATGTCCACCTTTAGAGGCATTAAAGTGTCCATATATGTAGGGCATTTTAGCTACATGCCTGAAATGTGGAAGATACAAATAAACAATGCCCTATTTACTTGCCATTTGAGTGAAGGCTACTCTTTGGTCATATATTTATACACTCATGCCAGACCTACTGCCAAACCATCTGTACTATCTTGTAGGTGACCAAAGTCTTGTTTCCCGCTATCTACAGCTCTCTCATGCCTTCAGGTCTCAGTTTCCTGATGGTACGGTTAAGCTAGTCAATACACATCTTGAGTCTCTTGCTCGATCAGAGGGTTTGATGAAGGTGGTTTCCTGTTTTTATCGCCTATTGCAGACTATGACCACCTCCACTTTGGTGACATTACAAACCAGGTGGAAAGAGGATATCTCTGACCTGAATGATGATGATTGGGAGGCAATCTGGGACAAACCGTTTAAACAACTGGTGGCGGTGAGAGATAGAATGGTTCAGTTTAAGATTCTACATATGGCGTATTTCACCCCTCACTGCCTGAATAGTCAATGCATCCATCTCTGCTTCCTGTTAGAGATGACCCTGCCCTATGTGTATTTTGTGGGCGTTTCTCTTAATTACTTCTTATTGGCATGCCATAGTAGACTATATATCCATGGTTACCTCTTTGAGCCTTGTCCCATCACTATGATAATGCCTCTGGGACTTGGTGGAGGAGGCAGCCCCTAATAACTCTGAGCGGACACTCCTAGGTTTGCTTCTATTTTATGCCCGTAAGGTGATTGCTATGTGTTGGAAAAAAACTCGCCCCTCCCACTGTTTTATTTTAGAAAAAACTGATTAATGACAACTTACCTTTGTTCCAGGACACTTATTATAGGGGATGTCCCAATAAGTTTCACAAGGTTTGGGATAGTTGGCTAGAATATTCTAATTCAGCTGTAGACACGGAATCATAATGTCGTAAGGTTTTTATCTACCCATAGAAGATTCAATGGCTCCTTGACATAGGAAGACTTGTATGTCGCTGCTGGATCACCTCTTTTTCTTTATTTTCCTTTTGTACCTTAATGGCGATTGTCTTAATGTGTGAACCACCTTAGGAAGTGTTTCCTAATGTCTTCTGCGCTTTTTTGTTTTTTTTATTGCACTTTTGTATTAATGTACGCGTTGTTTGCACCGTTTGTAATTTTCGATGTGCAAATCAATAACATATAAAAAAAAAAAGTATATTTCCCATCTTATAGTCCTAAACATTCTTTTTAAAGCTATACCCCCACTTTTACTAGTGGGTTTTTGTTTTCCCTATCTGTTGCGTCTCCTGGGAAACCCTTCTCTTCAGTTTGAAAGCTTAGGGTTCTGCCTATAGCTTTTATTTTATGCATAATATATCCTCACTCAAATTGTCAATATCCTAAATTCTTGAACTTCTGTTATTTTAATTAAAATATTATTTCTACGCTTTGGCTATAACAGGCACTGTCCTATTTACTCCTTGGGATTCTGAGATTGATGAGAATTCCAAAACATACTTTCTTTTTTGTACTTTTTCATCTCTCATCTTGAGTTGCAGCATCTGGATTAGAAAATGCACAAATAATGGTCCTTGCTCTAACAAGTCCCATTTTCTATCGGTAGTCTTGAACAGGGTGGGAATTATCCCCTTCTTCCTCTTCTTCACCCTAGAAATATGTTTCTCACTGGTCCATTTTCCTTCTCTTGGATCTGGTTCTATGGAACAGATAGCTTCCCAGGCAGTAAGGGAATCCCTAATTGAGTCAGTCTTTTAGATTGCCCCTGTGTCTGCAGAGTTTACAAAAATTCATTTTCCAGAAGAAATTCACACCTATCACTAATCGATGTCTGCATCCTTATGGTGGACAGCGTTGGTGATTTCATGTGTCCATCCTATTTCCATGTAGGGTTCAAAGTCTTGATTTCTGACCGCTGCATCTGACTTTTTCCCTCCACATACAGTGCAGGTTCTTTGCTTTACATTGAAGGTCTGTTGCCTGCACATACATGCAGCAGGCTCCCAAACTTCCTGTCATGCAAAATGCAAGGCCATTCTGATAGGCAGAGCTCTGACACTCCTGGATAGTTCTCAGAGTTTGCTACTAAGCCTTGCCCCCACACATTGCTTTTGGCTCTCATCACTAGGATAGGCATCCTTCCTGGCAAATAGGAATGTGCAAGAGACGGGAAGGAGCAGGTAAGCTTGAGCACTGTCACGATGTGTCATGTTAGGATGGTCTGAGATTCACTGCGAAAGGAAGGTTTGGAAGGTTGCTGCAGGTGTGTAACGGTACCTCCTAGGTACCTGCACTTCATACTTGCGACAGTTTGCCCCTATTTCCCCCAGTGAAATAGTCTCTTTAACACAAACTAGTGAACCCTCATCTAGTGTTCTTACATATGTGTGAGGTGTTGGGCAGAGGTTGAATAATAAATACATGTATAAAGGAATCAATCAAAACTGCCATCAGCCTTGTGAATATTTGACTTAAAGGAGAACTATGAGGTGAGTGATTTCCACTCATCCTCATAGTTAGAGCCGACCTGTGACAAAGAAGCTGTAACAGGCCGGCTCTATTGATCGGGCAGTGAGCAGGAACATGCACCGATCTGCTCACTTCCCGATTGTCTCCTTGCAGTGAGCGTTGACTGTCAGTCACCGCACCCTGCAGGGATTCCTCCCTGCTGGGAGGGCAATAGCCCGCGACATACTGAGAACAGAGAAAGAAATAAAAGAACACTATTAGTAGTGACTGAGTGTATCATTGTTAGTAGTATCTGAGTGACACCGATATCCTCTCCTATGAGTGGGTTCCCTAACCTAATGATGTAATAGCAGGCAAGCTCTCATGTCTGAATGTGATATTAGGCGTTCTCCAATGCCTGAATGTGATGGCAGGCAATCTCCAATGCCTGATTATACTCACAACACTGTGGATAGCCTGCAATAGAATCCCGGAGCTCCACCTACATTTTATACAGCTTCTGGGTTTTTAGGAAGGTGACCCACTGCATTCTACATTACAACCTATTGAGAGATGCATTACAGTCTGGGATTGAGGTTTAAATAAAAAGTTTGGGGGCTCTTACGCATTCTGTTTATGTTCAGGTTAGTTTCCAGGTCTTCTTTAAAGTGTTGCCAAGATTATGACTTTTTTTTAATCAAATTAGATGGTTACCTGCATGTATGTGACGTGAAACCACCCCATCAAAATCTGTTTGGATATCACATCTGCGGGTGCATGTAGTCATCACATAGTGCCTACCTATGTCATCAATAAGTATAGCTCGGAGCAGATGGCCAAATCTATACCATTGCAGTGTAATGCAGGTAAAACAATAGTAAAGGCAGATTTTTCTGGCCTGCCTAGTCAATGCTGCCCCTGATTGCAACTGGCCACATGGCCTTTAGAAAGCCCCATAAACATAATATCAGCCTGATCTGATCACCTCATGTCTGTGGGTATCTTTAGGCTGGCCATAATATTCCCAATTCTTCTGACAGCCTGATGTCTCAAGTGGGGATTAGACTGTCTAGTGGTATCCCTATGAGCTTCCAACAATATATAGAGCCATGTATATGCTGCTCCATTCTATCAGGCAAGTCACATGATTAACCTTGGTAGGTATTGGTGTTACTAGCAGGCAGAGGGGAAGACTGAGGACACATCTGTGCATCTATGGCTGGCCTAAAACCATTTGATTAGGTGTTAATAGAAGCGGCAGCAGATAAGCACAGTAAGCCAGTGTGCATATGGTAGTCTCGCATGTCAATGAAGGTCACTATCTAGAAGTGAGGAACAACTGGGTTCAGGTATTCATGGGAAAGGCTTACATGATAATGTTTGTATCTAGAGTCAACAGAAAACGACCAAAGTGCACAAGCAGTAGGTATAAGTGAACAGTAAGCAAAACTGCTAAGTGGCAATTGCATTGTCAGCATATAAAATATGTGCCCTTTATTCCTGTTCTGTTGAAATTGTCCCTCACTTTCTGTTCACAATGGACAGCATGACAAAAAATTAGTGATATTAATGCAACAGACAGCAATAAAAATTGCCAGGGGTTCTAAATCTTCACCACTCTATCTGAAACCAATAAATGCCCTCAATTAGGTAAAACATACTATGTAAATGAAACTTAAATTTGAACTTCCGGGAAAGCTAAGCAACAGCTAAGTACACTGTTGAAATTCATATGCGAGAGTAGTTTTACCTGCCAATGGATTTGTATCTGGCTATTTAGTCCTAAAATGTACAGCTCTGCCAGACTGATGACCTGACTTTTCTCTACTGCAGTTAAGCAATAAAGTGTATTCACCTCCCTGCCCGCAGCCTGTGACTGGATAATGAAGGAGCAGCTGAAGACTGAAGAGCTCATCTCTCTGTCAGAATAATCTTTATTAGCACATGCCCAAGAAGCCCACCTAATTGACTCCTTTGCTGCCTCTCCTTCTGCCAGTCCTGCTTTTTACTGAAAATGCATAGCTGACCTTTAACTCTTTCTTTATAGATTGTCCCCCTGAAGGGGCTGTGGGAAGATGTAGTTCCAACATTGCCAGATGGACATTTTGATGGTAAGTTACTATGAAACTCTTCACTGAACATTTATAGCAGTGTTGACAGACACTTTTTAAGGGACCCCCAGCGTTGGTCAGTGCCTCTCTTG